ATCTGGTGACATGCGTAACACATGCCCCAACCAACGTAATCTATGGAGGTCGATCATTTGCTCCAGTGGACAACCGCGACTGCCTGAAACTCTACGTCTGACCTCTGCATTGCTGCGTGCAATTCGACGGAGACAGCGGTGTTCAAACACCGACAAACTATTTTTACCGTTTCAGTCGTAACCAAGTCTGAACCGTAGAGCAGCAATGGCCGAACTGCTGCAGCACACAAACGACCCTTCACAGACAGCCGTATGTCGCGACGGCGCCATAGACGTCTGAGATTGGCCAATGCCAATCGAGCCTTTTGTATCCGCGCCGACAGTTCACCTGTGATGCGTCCGCCAGGTGAGATATAGCTGCCCATATATGCGTTAGCGAGAACCGTAAAAGTGCCTGGTAGCAAAGCAAACTCATCGACCGGTTAGCTGGATTCAACCGGTTTAGTAGTAAGCAAACACACCACACTCAGTTCTAATTCTTCAGGAAAAGGCAAAGTGGCACACAAATGAGCTACCCCTTCAATAGTTAAGACCGTTGCAATATTCACGGTGTTTAGCGAGCGCATCACAAGCCCGGTGGAAGGATATTTGTAATGATACATGGATTAAAATAGTTTCATGTACCGAGTATTTCTTAAAAAAAAACGCCCCAAATGTTCAGCCAAGATTGGCAGGGTGGAAAGCCCCCCGACACGCGAGTAACAGTTGCGCTTTGGTGCCACTAGCCGATTGGTTGATCTGAAAATGCAAGGATCATTGAGAAATCGCAGCAACCCTTTGAGTCAATGGTGAGATAATGCGACTTGTAACCTGGTGGTGAAACAGTTCCGCGAGAGATTACATTCATTTACCGATGCCCTATGAAGACCGACGAACATACTGCTTGTCCTAGAAAATGCATTCGCTAACACGCAGGACAGTCACCTCAATGACAGCTCTGATGCAAATCCTCAATCAGAGAATAATTAAGAAAGATTTAATTTTTTTCGAATAGATTTCCCTTGTTCTTTCACCTTCACTGTACGATGCACCTGAGAAGATACGGCAAAAATATTCCACAATTAAGTCGTGTAACGCACCTATTGTGTGTGTTCTCTTCAAGGCTAGTTTTCACACACGTTCAGGTATACCTTCCCATCGTCGACTATTCAACCTTCCGTTTAGACGTGCTGAGCAATGCTGGAAGAACCGACGGATACTCGGTGTAGGGGTATAAAGAAATAAGTTTCAGCCACGTTGGTGTAGCTCGTCTTGCGGATTCAAACCCAAAACACGAGGGTTGCGGTCGGTTAGAGATGCTGGAAAGATACAGAACAGAAGTCAGCAGAGCGGATGCTGTATGGTATGGTCGATGAAATCCCCTTCGGATAAACAGGACATACACGCACAAAACAAAAAAACAGACACCAAAGTGTGCGTGATGGAAAAACAAACAAACAAAGTTTGCTTCTCGTCATGTACCCCGGGTTTTGCCAGAGTCCCTCCCCTCCCAGCTTTCTATTTTCATTGTAGTCTCGTTAGCATCATGCCTAACCTCAGTCCGGTGATATGCATACATGCATGACTCCCGGTGAAAAATAGCTCGGCTTATACTAATTTGATTGATAAAGCGAACGGCCGTAGCTGATAAAGCTCGGACATTGGTTCAGCAGCTTGCGGTAGCCGATCTCAATTGTCATAGCTTTTATTGTACTTCAAACCGCGGATAAACTCGGGAAAAACTGAACTCAGATCCGGTTAGAGATAACGAATATGTGACTTCTCAAGGCGAAGTAATACCAAAGCCATAGCCCTAACCGAACACTTATCATCGTAAAGAAAGACTAAGTAGAGGTCGGTAATGTGTGCAAACCACGGTGTGAAACGTACTGTTTCGCATAGACCGAATCTTCCGGCCAACCCACTTGATCTTTCCGGGATTTGCGAGTGGAGATTCGACCCAGACCGAGGGATTCCGCGCCGAACGCTTTGAGCATATCGGAGAATAGATCACGAGCCAGACGTAATTGAAAGGGGACCGTCGCATTTGTTCGCACCTGATTCGCACACTGAGGCATCCAAAAGATGGCTGTATTGTGTTGCGGCGAAACGGACAGATAAGGATCCTGGATAAGAGAAAGGATAGAACAACACGTACATGATCGTGTGACGCTATTCGAAATATGCTTACACCTCTAAAATGATGATGATCTGGAGGAAGTGCCTAGACCGGTTGAGGGCCTGAGTAGTAGTACCAAGTCGATTTGTTATTCGTTTTATTGACTTGCCGATAGAACAGACCTAATTGCCACTTAGGATGAAAGAGTTTGAAATAAAATCACTCGTTAGGCACGAGATGATGAACAAGCCTACAACATTGATCAACTCAGCTTATCCATAGTAATTTCGTTGCACAACTACCGGTGTATAGTGCAGTCCATTTAAAAGCATAAAAGTAACGAATAGAACACCGTAGGCAAGGTTGTAAGTGATCACAGCAGCGGAACTGAGGGTGGGAAGGACGAGATGGTGTAAACCAAATGAAAGCCGAACTGACTAACCCCACCGGATGCTTGCACAATTCTGAATGGGTTTCGATAGCGGATGATTAAGTGTCTCAGTCGGTTGTATAAACCAAAATGTCTGAACGTGTAACACTCGTACACACACACACACACACA